AATTTTACAAATCGCCCATTAGACTTCAAATATAAGTACATTTGAACAAACTTTAAGAACTTGGAGTCCCTGCTCACTTACAGGCATCAAAGGGAATATAATTATTTTGATACTTTGACCTCTGGCAACTATTGTAGACCATACACAAAGAGCATAACTTACTTATAACTATACAAGTAGCTGGGGGCATTCCGTATGCTGTCGACGTAGTTATTGTTGTTGTATCAAGGCTCTTAAAGCAGCACCAGATTCAATTGAGAACCCAAATCAGTCAACCGCATTAAAAACTCTGCTTCATTTCCGTGACAAGCTATACACGTACACACACCCACACACACACACGCACACACACGCACACGAGCTCAACACAACATTCATATGTAAATATTATTTGCTCTTTGTATGCTGCTGTGACCTTTGCTAAACTAAGGGCAGCTTTGTGAACCGATTGTAGAACCCCCCCCCCCCCCCTTCTCCTTCCCATCCTTTCTCCACCCTCTAGCTTCCTGCGTGCCATAAAATTTCACTCTTTCTTCCATTAATAGTTGATCTACTAAGCCAAGGGCATAAACTATGCAAAAGCTTTTCCATCATTGCCATTTGCCATTCAGTACAAGAGCAACCTCCCCCCGCCCACTCTCGTTCTGTCTCTCTCTCTCTCTTGCTGTTGCTGTCTCTGTCTCACTTAATTGCTCAAATCTCCATACACAATTTAATATTCATACTTGCGTTTCATTCGTGCTGCTAATGTTGAGTTTGTCGGATTCATGGCTGGTTTCATGGCAGCAACAACAAATCAAGTTGTGGATTACAAATCGGAATCCTTTTTTAATTGAAATATATATATGGTCTATGTGCGAGTGTACACATTTGTATGACCCGTGCTGTGGCGCTGTGCTCATTAATGCGCGCGGCTGCTGCCTGGTGAATTGATGCGTTTTTGATTGCGAATTTGTCGCAAACATATCGCTCGAGTGCACCAAGAGACCACTCTCCGCCCGCCCTCTCTCTACCTTCCCATCTCTCCGGTTGACTCTCTCCAGTGTTATATGCGCATTACTCATACGCCGTGCGGGTTGGTAAAGGCAAAAAGCAACTTAAATTCTACTTACAGCCAAATATGTAATAAATACGAGCTTAAAAAAGTTTATCTATATTTCAACCGCACGCAGTCATGTGCTCTTCTCACACACACACACACTCATAGAGTAGCTCTTACTATATATGGCAGATATTTGGCATATAGAGTAGCTACTGCTGCCTGTTTTTTTGCTGTCGCCCCGAAAAGTTTTTGAAAGATGTGCCATCCCCCAATCCGGCACTTAGACAACTCGCACGTCCAGCAACCAAAAAGTTCATTTCGCTGCTTTCTCTCTTCCCCTTCTTTTTTTTTCATTTATCTTCCTCTTTTTTTTTCTCATCCAGCCAAAAAAAAAAAGAAATGTAAGTAAGTGTAGTGTAGTGTGTGGAGAGCAAGTGTACTTATCCAGAGCCAGTGCCACGCCCCTGCCGCCCGCTGCTCTTTCATTAAATGCGTCTATTCAGCGAGTGCAGCTTTAAAATTTGCGAAACCAAACAAATTTCATTTTATTTTATTTCATTTCATTTTTTTATTTTTTTTATTTTGTCAATATGCCCAAAAACCAAAGCCGGACGCCGTATAAATTGTCGCAATCAAGCGGCCGCATAAAATGTCTAAAAAAAAAAAAAAAAAGGTGGAAAAAAGAACCACGGCAAAAACGACAGCAAGATGAATTACTGTAAATTATCCAGTTAAAACTTTTCGTTGAAGGTCTTTGCAGCAAAAACCCAAAGGCGGGCGAACGTTCGCTGCTGACGATTTAACGAGACGAAAAGGCAAAAGTTGAACAAAAATCAATTTCGCCACAATTTCACGCTATTTTGCCTGAACATGAATAGGGTATAGTTGGGCATAGATATAGCTAGAGATTGCTTTGCATAGAAGTGAATTAAAATGCACTCAACATCAATTTGAAGGCCATGCAAATCTTTAAGTGTAGACCGACAGAATTTGTATGCCATTTCGGAAATAAAAATTTATGAAAATTTGAAATTCTAATGAAATAATGGACTCATTTTTCATAGTAAATATTTATTGAAGAAAATGGGTATAAAAGATATAGTGATATGGAACAGATTCCAAAAATAATATATATATTATTGCAGCAATAATTAAGCCGCTAATAACCAATGATCGATAACTACCCCCTTTTCCAAGCAATCGATAAAAATCGATATCGAAATGTTATTTGAATAAATCTCTTGCGCGAACTTGGCGTGTATATTCTTGAATAGTATATAGATATATATCTAGTATCTTTAATCTTATATATATATTTTTAATAATTTATTTGTTTATTTATTTCGAAATTTAAATATAAATTTTTTTTATGATGTGTGAAGAATAATATATATTGCTGTACTTCTAGGGAGAACCACTTTAATGTTTAATTAATTGTGATTGATTTAAGATGGGAAATGCTTTTCGGCACACCTGTCAAATCTAGATATATGTATATGCGATTATTTACTTCCTTTTAGCACTTCCGCAGCTGCTGCTGCTCGCTTGTCAATGGCTGCTTTTTGGGTTTTGGGCGCAGCTCATGTTGGACGCGAATATAAAAATCAGCCGCTGCGGGTTTTACGTTTTTCCTGCTTACCCTGAGCAACATTCATTAATGTCAGGAACAGCAGCGGCAGCGGCTCCTTCGTCTAGGACACAGCCACATTATGTGCCGCAAAACGCATAAAACACACGCACACACGCACACACACAGACAAGTGTCTGTCCTTGTCGCCGTCGCAGTCTACCCGCTGTTTTATATAGCGATTACGATAATGAAGCGGCAGCATTTTCAGCGGGCGCAGCATTTTTGTGCACAGAAATGAGCCAAATGAATGGCTGCCACTAGCCGTCACGGGCAGCGGCTGTGGTGAGCGGCGGCGGGTTACGGTGGTGCGGGATGGAATGAAATCTAGCAGCGACGTCTGTCGTTGATGGCTTTTTGAAGTTCTCAGCGCAGGCGGCGCGCTGTGATTGGGCCAAGGAGGGGAGGTGGCTTTTATGACGAATTAATGAATTCAGATTTAAATAAAATTACGCAGCGCCTGCTTGTTAGTGTCCGCTGCCCTGCTGCCTGACTGTTGCCTGGTTGCCACGCCCACTTGTGGGGCATGCACATTTAACGTTTTGCTAATAGAATTAAAGTTTGCGGACGGCCGCGCCCCCCTTCATCCAAATCACATAATGAGCGCCGCCTTCCTGGCTGAGCGTAATTATGACAGGGCGTGGCAGCTGCATTGATAGCGCCCTTTGCAACTGTTGCCCGCTTAATTAACAACAACAATTGCAATTGCAATTGCAGTTCCGCGTTGAGCACACCGCCCCCCCACCCCTGCGGCAGGTAATTTTTGTCTCATTTGGCGCGTGCAACCTTCAGCTGATGGTTTTGTACGCGCATTGTTTGTGGCATTGTTGTTGATTGTTAATTGAAAAACAATGTTGTGCCCTCTTGTGTCGACGGCTGCACTTAAAGAGCTGTGAAACGCAACAGCAGCAACAACAACAACAACAACAACAACAACAACAACAATAAAAACAACAACGACATGCGTGGCACGAGGCAAGTCGCGGCCAGGCAGGCAGTTCGAGTTCGAGGTTCAACTGCGGCTTAATTAATTTTTATAAGGCTGTTGTTATCGCAGTCGTCGTCGCCATCGTCGTCGTCGTCGTCGTCATCGTCGTCGCAGCGGCTGCACTTTAATTACAATGCACAGAAGTTGCCTTTAGCCCATTGATTAAACTTAATCAATGGCCATAAGCAGAACAAGATCGCGGCCAACAACGTGCGGCATGCGGCATGCGGCATGCGGCATGCGGCAGGCAGCTCATTAATGTTCGCTCCCAACTTTGACAGGCAAAGTGCAATTAGCGTCAGGAGCAAAGCGAAAAGTTGTCATATTATGATATTGAATAGCAGCCAGATGAAGGACGCGGCCAACCAATAAAGCTATAGGCAGTGTATGATAACAGCCTTAACATAATGTCAAAAGAACTCCAGCGGCAAAGAGTAAAAGTGTTTGAGCTGTAATAAAATAGCCCCAAGATTTAATTAATAATTAATATACATGCCGAACGCAAGGCGAAGCAGGTGGGGCCTGTTAAATGCAGTAGCTTGCTTTCAGCCTTTTCATGGCTTTGCTTTATTATGCATATTTTTCATGTTATTATTTACCTTTAATATTGTTATTATTATGCGTTTATAGTGTGCAGTACAAGCAGTACAATTTTCTTTTTGCTTTTTCGAAATTTGTGAAATTCGCACTTAATTAGCTAAAAAAGTCATCTATCTAGAGAGCATGTCAACTTAGTTATAATAATAGCTTTTGCTACTCAAGTTAGTCAGCAAATCTGTCTAATATAAGCGATAGACCGAAGAATCTATTAAAGCCAAACGATTATAAAACCATTAACGTCACAACTAAGCCGAACTCTATTTGGCAATAAAAATCTATCAATTAGCATATGATAATAAAGTATAGTAGAGAATATGGTATGGAGGAAGTTGAATAAAGACTAACTCTCGGTTAGTTCATCATTGGAAGCAGTTGGCGGCCAACTGCCAAAGTCTGTTCGGTTAGTTAGTTGCATAGTTTGGCCGGTTTGTCAGTCAACTATCATTATAAGTTGCCCTTTTGCCTCATAATGGCCAAAACTTTTCAACTGCTAAGGGTATGTGTGCCAGTGTGTGTGTGTGTGTGTGTGTGTGTGTGTGTGTGTGTGTGTGTGCTTTGGCCATTGTTGGCGCTCACTTTTGCAATTAGCAGCAGTTTTGTCTGTTCAGTGCTTTTATGCGGCCATTAATTGAGTTGCGCGCAATGAAAACTTAAAAAAAAAAAAAAACAAAAAAAATAAAAGAATGGAAGCGCGGAACATTTTTCAACTTGTCTAATTTTTGTTGTTCGTCTTCTATTTACAGATCGAGGACGCAATGCTGATGTTTGACAAGCAGACCAATCGGCACAGAGGTAAGCTAACAGATAATAACAATAAACAATAAACGATAAGCATTAATCGATAATAATAATAATAACAATAACAATAATGCCAACAATAATACTCGTTATAATAATACCGACTGACTGACACACACACACGCACACATGCTGATGCTCTTACAGCTCCGTTTCCGGGCCTTAACGATGCAGCTGAACGAGCCGAGCCGAGCCGGAAGTGCGAGCATTTTTGCGCACTGCTCTGTCAAAATGCATGACAGATACCGTTACAGATAGCCGGGCACAAACAGCTAATACAGTTTTAAAACGGGGGGCATTAAAATGGCCGGGTAACAGGATGTCGGAGCGAGATAGATAGCCAGGGAAAGCGACCCGAAAAGATTACCTGGCAATGCAACCGGATATAACCGGGCGCACACATACACACACACACACACACACACACGCACACTCACACACACAGACACAGAGACAGACTCAGTGGGTGGGCGGGCTGTTGTCCGGCAAAAGGCTTAAATCTCCAGCGCACATCCGCTACACGAACTTGTAGCGCACGAGTGCGCCCATTGCCCCGCTTTTTTGGTCCATATGCTCGCTTGGGGTCAGGTCAGGCCAGGCACAGGCTCTTCGCTCGTTTGCTGCCAAGAGCTGCCTCCTTGTCGTTGTCAATTTTGCTTATTAAAGTTTTAAATGACGCGCCGAAATTCGCATTGCGCACGAGTCCAATGCCCATTGACATGTGACAGGAGACGCGCAGCTGGAGCAGCAGCTACACCTGAGACACGGCACATTAAGATTGATGTGTCCATTTTGCAGCTAAAGCCGCAACAGAGGCGAACTCTGCCGCCCACACACACATACACACACACACACACACACACTCAACCAGCTAACAATGTCGTTGTCCAAAAGTAATTAGCTGCTCACTCACATACACACACACAGTTGGACAGTCGAGCATGCATCAATAGTTGCCTGCACACACACAGGCAGACATACAGACAGTTGCTGGCCTTGTTAACGTGCTGGCCGGTGCACACTGTCCAACCAAATTACGCACACGGGAATAAGGAAACATGATTTTTGCTTGTATGCGGCCCATAAAAAATTGTTGCATACTTCGGGGCGCCGCCACGCTGAGAGAGAGATAAGCAGCGCGCGACCCACAGAACATTTCGTTTAATTGGACGCTGGAGTACCGAATGCTGCATCATGATGCAGTCATATGAAAAACACAAAAACTCAACCAGCAGCAGTTACAGTAGCGGCAGCAGAAGCTGGAGATTCACGAGCAGCCTTTGCAAATGGCAATAAAAGCAAGCAGCGCCCCATTTAAAAATTATGTGTTGCGCTGCAGTTGAAAGATGGAAGACTGAGCGGAAGACTAACAGAGACAGAGACAGAGACGGAGAAAGGGAGCAAGGAAGTGGGTGAAGAGTGAGAAAGACAACAACTGTTGAGAGATTAATACATGAGAGAAATATATAAAAACTGCAAATTGCCAGCATGCAGATTTATTCGGGTAAATAAAACAGAAGAAACAACAGAAGAACAATGCGGCAATGATTTTTATTAATTTTTTAGACTGATTGCCAAGCTCAATTCCCATTTCAAATGAAAACGAAATAAGTAGCCAATTAAATGGAAGGCTTTTGTATTTGCCATGCTTCTAGCAAATGCCTCTTGCTGACTTTAATAAGGCTTTGGAAAACTTTTTATGAGCTATAACTTTTGATTATGGAATTGCGTCTAGATTGTCATATTAACATGAAAACACTCTCGCAAAGGACATTCCTCTGAGGTGGACACCCCTTTTGGGGAGACTTTTTTTTAACATTTGAATATGAAATAGGTCATACCCCTTTCCCCTCAATTATGCGCACTCTCCTCTTAAATTATAATTATAATAATTCTAGACTGTAAACTCTCATTACCTTGCCAAAACTTAAACGATTTTCATGGGGAACTTAATTGTTGCCACGGATTTTTAATTAATCCTACTAACTTTTTTTCTGAATTTAATGTTAATAATTTAAGCTATTCAAATATAGGAACTGCAGTAATAATTCTTCCTATACTTTAGAAACTCGTAACAGAACCAAGATCCAGCAATCAATTCTGTAGGCTTACATTTTGTAAATTGATATTGATATTGATTTTCCATTTAAATGTAAAATTTTTATGAGGCATACCATGTTGGCCCTGGCCTTGAAGAGTTATACATTTATAACTATTTATAAACTTTATTAACTATTTTTTAGTTGTTTTCTATGACAAAAGTTATTTATAAGATTTGAATTCTAGACTTTATAATTTGGCCAAAACTCAACCTACGCTTCTTCTCTTTCTCTTGATCTATACCATTTTGACCATGTTTGGTTTGAGTATTTAAAATTCATACTAATTTGCATAATGGTTAGGCAAACGCAGAAATAAATTGACTTATGACAAGTGATGTGGTGCCATTTGCAATTGTCAGTGGCTTCTGAGTAGGTTTGTTAAAAATAGCATTAAATGTAGCCTCGTTTCGTGATTTTCCCATAAATATGACATGGAAGACGTTTACTGTTCGACTCGACTATTGACATGGCTCGCAGGACACGGTAATTTTGCAAATTACAATTGCTCGGGTCGATCAAAATGCATATACGATGAAATATGCAGGCGTTGTTAGTTGGCCAACCGAACCGCGCCGCCGGCAACTGCCCAACTTCACAGGGCCAACTGCCCCAATGAGCCACCAAGGCGAACCACCCATCGCACCAGCGTACCACCCACCAATCTAGGGAACCACCATTAACGCGGCGAAGCAACGCTTTCGCTGCGAGTCAATAGAAAATGTGTGTCGTTAATCAAAGGGTATTAGTTGTAGCTGTAGCCTTCATTGCCACGACGACGACGACGACGACGACGACGATGGCGACTTTTTATACAACTTGGACAATGTACGACCTTTTGCCATGAGTTGGACTAACAGACGCTCCAGGGCCCGATGCCATGTCGCCCGCTGTCCGTTGCCCGCAGCCTACTGGCACTTGCGATATGCCTGTAATTGCATTTTATCGATCCAAGTGAAGAGAAGGTACCCAGCGTACATGTGGCAATTGCCAGCGTGTGCACACACACACACACACACATACACACACACATACAGAGGCAGGAAAAAGAAAATAAAAAAAAGTGAAAAAAGTCGAGCAAAGACGTCGCTGGTTGCTCGGGCTACACGGCAGCAAGTTTGTTACTCATTCATAAATCATGTGTGCAGCGACAGACGGACAGAAATACAGGCACACACAGACAGACAACACGGCTGAAAGAAACACACACATATACACACACACAGCTAGTGAAAAGGCAGCCTGGTCACTGAAACTTGCAGCGACGTTTTTCCAACTAACGGCTGCAGTTGGCGCCCCCCAAAAAAAAAGTAAGCGAAGCATTTTATCTATGGGGTTCGGAGTAGGGGTTTAGGGTTGGGGAGACTCGGAAAACGAAAACTATATGAATATGCCATAAAACAATATAGGCTGGCATACTAACATTTGCAACAACAACAACAACAACAGCAACAGCAGTGACAACAACAATAACAGCTGCAAGTACAGTAGAACCTTATTTATATTTAACTGAGTTGGCTTTCGGAAGCACTTTGCACTTAGCTTAGTTAACTATAAAGTGAAAGCGTTTAGTTAAAAAGTAGCTTGGCTTGTTTATCGATAGAAATATCGATAAAAAGCAGGGCTGCGCTTAAAATTAGCTACTTTTATTGATAGGCATGAGCATACGAAGAGAAAAGAATAAGATGAGAAAAAATATTAAATACTGCTAAACCTATTGATAAAAACCAAGGATGAGTTTGCTCAGCCAACACATCAATGAATATAAGAAAAGGCTTAAAAGACGAACAAGAAACTTAATTAGGAAAATATATATATATATATATATATATATATATATTTGCAGACATATTCTCAATTTCTAGTGGCACATGGTAGCCAATGTTGTTGAGCCCCAGCAATTACTACTGTAGCTTTTTTATGGGATACACGACAGCAGCGCCCTAAACTATGCTATGAATTTCATTTGGCAAGCCAAGGACATGCACAACGTGCGCCTAAACAGCCGCTTGAGGCGGGGGGTGGGGGCTGCTGGCTGCAACTGAGGTGTTTGTTGCGGGCGGTGTCGGGGTCGTTGTGGGCGTTACGGGGGCCGCGGGGATGGTTGCAACGGCTTGGCAGTTGGCGTCGCCAGCCGCCACTAATATTAAAATTGAAAATTTTGTAATTTTTCTTTTTTGGCAAGCCGGCGCAGCGCAGTCATAACAGCTGCCAGGCAAACGGACACCCGCACCCTGCCGCCCCACCCAGAGCCCACCCATTCGGCAGTGCTGTCTCTATTGCTGTAATATATACATATAGTTACATATTCCATATCTGTGGCCGTTACTTGGCAATAACATGCATGAGTGTGCAATTTCTGCAGTTGGCACAAGCATCGTCAGGCACTCAGGAGCTCAGGTTAGAGTCGTGGCTCGTCCTGCGGGAAATTTTCGACAGGTAAAAATGGCAGCATAGCAGCCGCAGAATTAACTAGCAAAAGCGACTCTTGCCGCCGGGCATTTTTCAAGCTGCCTCCGACTCTGACTCTGCAGGCAGATACATTTTTGATTGAGTTACGTGTGGGTGCCGTGTCTGGGTGCTGGGTGGCATCCAAAAAGAAATTGCTGGCTTCATTTGCTCGCCACTCGGTCGGCGCTCGACTGATTTATGAGTGGCCAGAGGCAACAGCAACAGCAGCAGCAACAACAACAACATCAGAGGCAGCAGCGGCAGCGCCTGCGGCAGCAGCTATAGAAGTGGCAACTATGTACGTGCAACTTGCAACGTGCGCTAATTTTATATAATTAAAACAAACACAAACATACCAAGATGGCAGCTGAGTAGCACCAGAGTGAGAGGGAGGACAAGCAGAGACTCTCAACGCCCACAAGTTGTTTCAAAGAGCAAGAATCAGGGGGAGAGAGGAATAAATATAGAGAGAGAGAAAGGGGGAGGGAAAGCTGCAAAGGAGTCAGCACATGTCGCTAATAAGCCTGCGTGTTTACTGTTACTTGTTTCAACTAATTTGTCAGCTACGCCCAACGCCCGCATGCCAAGGCAAACACACGTACACACACACACACACACAGAGAGAGAGAAAGAGAGAGAGAGAGATACACAGGGAGGCGTGGCATCAGGTGTCTGCACTTGGCCTTGCTAATTGCACAGCCCTTTTGGCCAGGCCAAATCTGAGACAATTGCGCTAATTGAAAAACCTCGATAAGACCAAAGCGCCAGGCTCTGCCAGGAAAAGCTGGCAAATTGAGAGCTGATGCACACACACCCACAAACACCTACACCTACACACACACACAGTCAATGCGAAATGGAGCTTCACTAAGGACATTTTTGGGTCTTTGTTATCCTTGCGTTTTCCTTTTCATGTAAACAAGCATTAAAAACCTAAACTAAGATCCATAGCATAACAGAGGGCCAAATTGAATGGAAGATAAATTTACCCCTGTGACCTTTGTGAAATGGCTTGCGGGATTGCGTGAAGAATTACTAATCATATATATCGAAGAACAGGATATTTGGCTTTTAGAAAAATGTTCCGGTTTTCGATATATGTTAACAAAACTTCATAGTTCTTTCGCATATCCTCCGATTATTTCTAGAGAGCTCTATGATAGTCTGATGTTGGTAAGCTTACGTTTTTTTATGTAGGGAGCATAGGAGAACGAGTGACAAATAGATTTGGTCCAAATATCCAAAAAAAAAAAAAATAATAATAAGTTTTTTTTACAAGAACTTAATTTCTGTCCGATTGTTCCTATGTCAACTATATCCAATAGTGATCTGATATGGTCTATTGCAAACTTACAGGACGAATGTATATATGTATGTCGAATCGACTGTTGATGCTGATCAAGAATATATATAGTTATTTTAGTTGGTTTATTTCGTGACCTTTATTTCGTGACAAAATCATAATAATCTCTTAAGGGGCATAAATAAGTACATGTTAGTGTTGCACAACGCTAGATAGTCTGATTGTTATCGATATTATCGAAAATGCACTCGATATTTCTGAGGAATATTTCACATGCTATTCAGCAAAATTGTTGAGGGGTTGTTCAAGGGTTAAATTTACAATTTTGGAAGTGTTTACCATTAAATTTTGCACACTCGCTGCAATTTATAAGTACGATTATAATAGATTGTATATTTTGGAGAAATTAACAAAATTTCGGCATAGGAATTGAACGCGCTGATTCAGCATTTCCTAGAAGCTAGCGTTGGGGAGTCGAGAGTAGGGAAAACTTCATGACAAACTTATTATGCACTCGGCTGGGTTATTTCCAGAGCTGGGCAAAGTTTGCTATGTAAACTCTGGGATAGCAGGGCAGTGTTTGAATTACTTGGCCCAGCCGGTACTTGAGTCCCTGCCGCATATTGAGGTCAGCTGTGGGCTGAGTGGGGGAAATTGGGGGCTGGGCAAGTGGAGTGCATGGGTGCAGGCTGGGCCGTGGGCTGTCTGGTTGCGTCTCGGTCTCGACACTTGAGTAAATTATTTAGCCGCTCGCACAAAAGCATATTTCGTTCAATTTTTGCAGCTAGCTCTTAAACTTGTTTGGGCACTCGCCGGGTCTGCGAGTCTCCGACTCTCTGGCTCGCTGACTCTTTCGCCTTTTTCACTTGTCTGATTTGGTTCTTTCTTGCTTTATTTCAGGTTTTGGCTTCGTTACATTTCAAAGCGAAGATGTGGTAGACAAAGTTTGTGAAATTCATTTCCATGAGATAAACAACAAAATGGTAAGTCAAGCGAAGCCAAATGAAACGCTAAAATTCAGTAGCGGAAACGCTACGCCCCAAATCCACTCACCGTCTACTTGTTCCGCAGGTCGAGTGCAAGAAGGCGCAGCCCAAGGAGGTAATGCTGCCGGCCAATCTGGCCAAGACCCGCGCGGCCGGTCGCTCCGCTTACGGTGAGTTGGTAGTCTGGGGCAGCCACGCAAATCAGGCGGCCGCGGCCGCGGCGGCGGCAACAGCTGCCACGCCCGCCGCCGCTGGCCTCTTGCCAAGTAGTTTAGCCGCTGCCGCCACTGCGCTGCATCAGCAACAGCAGCAACAACAACAACAGCAACACCACCAACAACAACACCCACAGCACACACATCACCACCATCATCATCAGCTGCTGGGCGCAGCCGCAGCGGCCGCCTCGTTGCGCTACACGCCCTATCCGCTGCCCAGCCACATTTCGGCCGCTGCAGTGGCCGCAGCCGCCGCTGCTGCCAATCAGCAGCAGCAGCAACAACAGCAGCAAGCAGTTGCTGTTGTCGCCCACCAACAGCATCAGCAACAGCAACAGCAGCAACAGCAACAACAGCAGCAATCTCTGGCCCATGCTGTGGCCGCTGCAGCTGGCGCACCCTCGCTTCTGCCCCTCGCCAATTCGGCGCCCGGCGGCGCCCCCTCACTGCTGCAGTATGCGGCCGCCGCCAATGCCACCCAGAATAATGTAGCGCTGGCCAATTCGCTTTATGCGGACGCTGCCGCTGTTATGGGCTATAAACGGCTGCTGGCCGCTGCCGCTGTGAGCAGCGGCCTTCGAGGCACACCCACGGCTGCCACTTTGGGCGCCTTGACGGCCGCTGCGTCAGCGCCAGCAGCAGCAGCTGCTGCTGCGGCTGCCCAGCAGGCGCAGCTGCGTCAAAACGCCGCGCTTGCCGCCGCCCATTATCCGCTCAGCGAGCTGCTGGCGATGCCGGCGGGCCTGGAGATGCCCGGCGCAGCCTCGGCTGCGGCAGCGGCCGCTTCTCTATATCAGCTGCCAGGCATCTGACCGCCCAGGCCGCAGTGAACGTTCCTTTCGTGAACTCTAACCGATTCAGGCTAAATGCCAAAGTTCTGATCCCATTCGGGTTTGTTGGGCACGGCACAACATGAATAACAAATATACACACACGCACACACACACGCACACAAAACTCTCTCTCATTCCGTCTCAAAGTCCAAAGCGCGAACGTGTCGCATTTACTCTTAGGTCTTAGGTTTACGTGTACGATTCTCCCTAGCCATGTACTGCATATACATAAATGTACATACATATCTTAACTTAACTTACATGCATACTCTACTTGTAATCTGTGTCTAATCAAATCGGCGTTTAGGCAACGCGGCGTATGCGTTATAAATTAATTTATAATTAACTTGATAATTAATTAGTGGACGCATTCGTTTTTTCTATAGAACTTAAGAGATTTGTTTAAGATCTAGGCTAAACATTCTTAAAGAGCAGGTCCTAGAGAGCTGCTTAGATTTTGCTCAGCATCGTTTTGCATCGATTGTTTGATAACAGTTGCGCAATCGATATTTAGAGACTTAGAGGCGATCGTTAAAGTAACTGTAAACAAAAGCTGCGTGTAAGTCTTAGACATTGTGCAACACTAGAACTTAAGAACTAAGAATATGTAAAAAACTAAACACCAAAATATCTATTATTGAAAACTATTGAAAAAGTATTGAAATTGTCAAAAAAAAGAAATATATTAAAAAAAACGTTTAGGTAAATCATTTATATGTAATTCTTGTATAATAATATGCATATTCAACATTTACCTTGTGTTACCCAATTACAATATATCAATATATATTTTATATTCAGCTCATAACAATAGCTCTTCAAAATGAATATCTGTAGACCCGAATACAATTAACAACAATAATAATATGTCATAACTAGCAAATGTATCGAATTAGCTTTTAAGTAAAGCCGCATTTAAGTAGGCAACAAACTGAGCTGACAGGCACACACACACACACACACACCCAGACTCTTTGTATGTGTATGTGTGTGTGTGTGTCTCTAACAATTTTAGTTAAATATTTGAAGGTGCAATTCACAATTTGTAGAGCTGAATGGCATTAGAATGGCAGCTGTCTGTCTGCTCGTTGGTTTCCAGTGGACGCAACCCAACACTGGTTAATTGATAATGTCAATTAGAGCCTATACAAACTTACAGCGTGGACAGTTGATGGCCATACTAATAATAATGGGCCACTACGGCCTCTTAATTACTAATACATACATGTTTCCATCTAGCCATTAATATTTGACTAAACATGAACCTAGCTATTATATATGTATATATATATATATACATACATACTAATACACATATTCTTACTTACGATAAGCGCATTAAGTGCTTCGAATTTCTAGTTTATACTTGACTGTTTATCCATTGTAATAGTGTACTCATATATAAGCGTAAAGACAACAGCAACAGCAAAACACACAGGAAATCAGCCGTCAACCAAAATTGATGCCAAAGATGAACGAATGATTGATTGATTGATTGATGGCAGCCAAAACGAAGACCATGAGCAAACGCATGGATTTAACAAAATTTACAATAACTTTGAACAATTATTTACATTAACATTTAACTAGCTGTCAAATTGTTGCCATTAACATGTTTTTTTCTCTTCTCTTTTTTTTTTAAAATACCTTTTATTATTTATTTGGTTGTAGTGTTTTTATCTATAATTAGTTTAGTTTTTAACCGTCAATTTGTGAGTGTGTGTAAACACTTTTCGTCATTTGTTTTAAACTTTTTAATTAGTTGTGGACGGGGGTGCAATGGCCCGAGAGTCTGTGGCATTTTTGTAGAAATGCGCGGCGGGGCTTTAGAAAATTGCCCCGTGTCCAGGACAAACACTAGTTAACAAGAGCAATTCAATTATAGTACATTAAATTTAGCATAGTTCTTAAATGTGTTTTAGTCAACAATATAGTCGAACAATGTCTACGTATCTATAAACTATATTTAACTAAACAGACACACGTACAACTCTATATACCATATTTAATAAGTGTTTAGATTTGTGTCATATCTTAACTTATATCGATGGTACAACTGAAATAACTGTAACTCTATATATACCATATAGATAGCTCAGAAAGTCGAGGCTGTTTAAGAAACTAAAAACAAAAAGTCAACTGCTCAGCGCAGCCTTAAAAAACATATATTAGACACACACACACACACACACACACACTCTCTCTCTCTCTAAAAATTAGTATATAGCATAATAATCGATAACTGTTAATCGATTGTTTCTTAGTTACATAGCCTAAAACACACATTTAGAGCGCTAAGTACACACACACACACACACACACACACACACACACAACACACACACCTAATGAAATACATACATCTATAGTTAATCAGTCTTTACTATATTCTTAGACTCTTATCAAATACCATATATATAAAAATATATATAAATTTTATTTATTTGATCTTGTTTGGAGTACTTAGCTCTTACAAATGCGCACTTATGAATGTTAGTAATTTATTTATGTTTATGCCTTTCTTTTTTGTGCTCTCTCTTTCTCTTGTTTTCCATGCGCCATTTCTAGATAACATCATGTGGGGTCTGGGGACATTGCCCGAAGGTAAGAACTAGCTAATGCCTAGCACTCGTATTAGTTTAGCTAAATGCTATCTTAGGCTATGTCTACGATGTGGTTGTCTAACATGATTTATGTTTTCTTTCTCGCAGGCTTTCCGGCAGCTGCGTATGCTGCCTATGCCGCAGGTCGCGGCTACTCCGGCTATCCGAGCTTCGGACTACCCTATCCAACTGGTAAGTTTGTTTAACTGCTCTTCTACTCTCTCACAGACACACCTCCACTCACTCACACACACACAGAGATACACAATTATTATTAACTACTTATATATGCATATATAATAAATATATAGAGAATCCTTCTGCATATGTCGTACGCCCTTAACTGCTCGTATGCGTGTGCGTGTGCGTGAGAGTGTGCCTGTGTATCTGTGTGTGTGTGTGTATGTGTGTGAATGCATTTGAAGTGCATTCGAGCAAGTTTTGTGACTACTCTTAAAATTAACTCAAGCCCCTAAACCCAAGCCAAACCCAAGCCCCGCACTGCAGTTTGTGTTAGTTGATATGACGAACTAGTCCAATTGTAAACAACATATATACATATATGTATCGATCTACCTATCTATGTATGTATGTACGTATGTATGTATAATAAGCATTAGCATAACATACTAACTTCATGCCCGATAATTTGTTCTCGTATTGTGTTTTTTTATTTTTCTCTTATTTGTTTCGTTTGAATCAAGAGAAGTCCAAAAAAAAATATCGTCATTTTCTTCTTTCTTTTTTTTTCTCTTCTTCTTTTTCTTATTTATTTGCCCCACAGCTGGTGTAATGGGCGTAATGCCGGAGAATCGCATACTGATCGGTGATTATATGGTTGCCCCAACGACCAGCAGCACGGCCTAGGAACGCCCCCAACGATCCATAGCTGATCTGATATTTATCGAGTATTATAGATATGTTCGCGGCAGCGCCAAAAATTTGTTCAAAACTTGAATAAAACAAACACTAAACCAAAGAACTCCAACTCTTCAGCGTTCGTCATATCAATGCACAAAATAAACTCTCAAAAAAATAAAAGAAAAAGTTGTTAAAGCAGCTCTTAAGGCATTCATTATTTAGACATTACTCACATTACTTTCATTTAATGCTGCTTGGTCTTGTGTTTATATCATTTGCACCAAAACAACAATTGAACACTGCAAAAAAAAACCCACCACATTTGCTACTAGGCCTAACACCCAACACACGTCGCCCCCGCTCATGCACAGCGTGTGTGTTGTTTATTTTGTTTCTCTTAATTTTATTTTTTATCTTATCTAGGGTTGGAACGAATGTTGAATGTTGCATTTGCAAGCATTTAAGTACTCAAATCCAACACTAGTTACAGTCGCAAGCGAAGGCTCAGATTTAGATAAAATTTAAGCAATATCTGCAAAAACAAATCGAAAGAGAATAAGTTACCAGAGCTTCACGAATGCGAATATTACATATGACGCATTCGTCCCAACCCTAGCTAGTCATCCACTCTTTCTCTCTCTTTCTCTCTGTCTCTCTCTCGCCTGACTCTCTGTCTCTTTCTACATGCAATCTATCTTGTGTCTCGTGTGATTTTGTAGGCCTAACTATTTGTGGCATCGGTAGAAGTTATGGTACCACATGTAGCACGAATGCGGGCCGCAGCAGAGCTGCCACTGGCCCCGCTGGCGGTGGTGCGGCTGCTGCAGCCGCTGTCCACAATCAGCCCCAGTCAGGATATCAACACCACCAGGCGCTGACTCTGCCACTAGCCACAGCGCTGACAGCGCGCACGGCGGCAATCAAATCGCAGTTTTTGGGCAACATAAATTTCTAAAAACAAAAATCAAAATAACACAGATAAACCGTATATAAGCCGAAAGCAAGTCTGAGAGAGCGGGAAAACTTACACAGAAAAAAGAACACCAGGCCACAAGAAAATCTTAAACAGAAACAAATCAAAGAGGAAAAAACAAGCAAATATACGAGAGGCCTGCGATATTGTATTTAATATTTCATTGCCATTTTGTCTCACTCATTTTTTTTCTGTGGTCTCAACGACAATACGCAAACCAAAATAAATCATTTGTACTGTGACAAGTAGGTACAACAACAACAACAACAACAACAGCAACAGCAACAAGAGCAACAACCACAAATAAAATTTATTAGCTTAGATTGTTTCTACGGTGAATGGTAACAACAACAACAACAACAACAACAGCACCAAATAAAACAAATACTCGATCTATCAAAAAATAAATAAAAACAAATAACAGAAACTTATACAAGTATTTGTAATTGCAGACCCATATATAATCACATTTAGAGCTGCTGGCGCATACATGTGTGTACACACTGTACTATGTGGCCTCCGTATAGCTGACAAAAGGAAACTTTCTAAACACACACACACACACACACACACACACACACACACACACACACACACACACATATTTAGCTAACATTTGATTGTTCTAGACGCGTTGTTCGATTAGCTGAAACCCTAGTTGCGCATATTTACCCCGTATATAAATAAATAAATATCTATCTATAGAGCCGAGCACATATAAGGCGGCAACTGTACCGTACGCAGCTCTGTAGCTTTCGATTAACTATTACACACACACACATATAGCCACATGTAGTTGTGTTTAGGCCAACATAATCGCATAATCACACATATTTAACTCTTTAGACGTACGTGTAGCGTCCCGTAGAGAGGTATGACACAATGTGTACACAATGCACACACGCACACAAACAGTAAACACTCCATATAAATGATACCAATATTTGTGCTTTTTTTTTTGTTTTTTAATATTATTTTTGTAATATCTTGCTTTGCGTTGCGTTCGCCACATTAATTCTCATTAAGCCCAAACCCATTTTGGCTTGGTCCCAGGGACACAAATCTATTATTTATAAAAACTTTTTTACTGTAAGCATTTAAATGCAAATTTTTATTTGTAGTACATCTGCATAAATTAGTCGTGTGCAACAACAACAACAACAACAACAGAAATAAACATAAACCGCGCGAAATGCATACGAAAAGCATTTTAGATAAAAACTACATTTTAGCCAGCCTGTCACATGTAGTATCATTATTATCCTTTAATTAATTTCCTGCATAATATAATTTCTGTATTTCGTTTTTTTTTTACTCTCTTTTTTTACGACCGTTTCGTTTTTGGTTTGGGTCCCCTGAGTTTTAGATAATATAAGCACACGTGCAGAGATTTTTTGGCGTAGCAAAAGTTCATTAATTAGCAAAATTTTCTGTTCTGTTTCATAATGTGTGTAGCCACAAAAATAAAATCAAAATAAATACATTTTGGCGTTCGTTTTTTGTTTGTTTTGGATATCCTTTAATTCTACTCATATATATCGTATAGCCTGCATAAGTTCTTTCATCGGTGCATCAAACTGAATCTGAAATAAGCCAACCAAAAATTTCAACCGAAATGAGCGAAAAATTTTTATTGAAATTTCTATATGAATAATACATTAACTATATACAATACATATATAAATATATTTATAATATATAACAAAAATATACAAAATAAGTTTAATATATTTATTTTATACAAAAAGCAAAAACTAATTTCATTTGTACAATAATGCAAAAGGAATAATAATAAATTAAAAAAAAAATAATATATATATACGAAAAGAAAATACAATATTAATGTCCATCCATTTTCGAAGAGCGACTTTAAGTTTATGAAAAATGCAATTTTTCTATGTCCTTTCCATTTATGCATAAATTGTAAGTTTGACATTTAAACATAGCTATCAATACTCTATATACTATATATACATATAATATTTATGACCGCGTATATATTAAATCGAATATTAAAAAAGAACACACACCCACACAGACTCTCTCACACACACAGGCATACAAATCAATAAATATAAATTGAAAAGCTGTTAATTAGTTAATTGAATGCAGTTATCGCAAAATTTTTGGCAATTTAAATTAATGTATATCAAAGGACAAAGCCTAAAAGCCGAGGCAAATGCTTCGAGGTATCTAAAATATAAAATGCTTGCGAGTTATTTATATACAACACACATACACACACACACAACTATATAGTATATACACAAACACTCACACACACACATACGCATATCTATGTATTTTACACGTATATACTGTGATTTATAAGAAAACGCTTCAAACCAAAAACAAGAAGAAAACAAAACAAAAATTGCCAACGCAGAATTCAAATTGCTTATGCAAAAAACGAAAAGTTATTAACTAAATAAATGCACAAAAAAAAAAAAACGGATACAAAAGCCGAAACAAAAACCAAGTCTATCCTTTCTGGCCGCAAGGCTTCAGCTCTTTGTATTATTAGCGTTTGAAAGCGTTTTCAAATAGCAGCCAAAAACGTGGAAATGGAAGCTAACTCTGACAAAGTGGCCAACGAGGCGTATGCGTAATAAACCTGACAACAGCGACAGAAATGGCCACAACAACAACAACAGCAACAAAAGCAACAACAACAAGCATCAAGTGCCAACAAGGTCAGCTAATGGTCGTCTTAATATACAAAATGCATAATCCCACAGCATTCTCTCTATACCTAACTTATATATACATATATATATATATAAATATATCTGTTCGAAAAGCCGTTAACACACATCTTATAATTATTAAATGTACTTCGTACCGTTAGTTATTCGTTTTAGCAAAAGTTTAGCAAGCAGCGCAATCAAAACTAAATTTGTAAACTGCCCAACGGCGGCAGTCCGTAGCTCACACATGTATACTCATGCCAATATATTACATATATATATCTATATCAATATCTATATGTGTAGTGTTTTCTTAACTTTAGCAACTATAACTTTAGTTACCAAACTTATATGCGAGTCCATAAATTGCAACTAAAAACCAAATATATTTCTATAGACAATAATACATGCAGACAATCATTTAGTAGTAGCTATTAAAATGATAAAACATTTATAATCACTTAAACGAAATTTTGTGAAATATATTATTAACCAATTATAACTAAGCCAAATACTGTAGTTATTATAAAAAAAAACCTAGCTTAGTCAACACTAATTTGATGTGCCAACAAAAAAAAAAAAAAATACTATAACTTGTGTAGTGTTGAAAAATGAAGCAAAGCTGTAGGCCAGATATTGATAAGTATCTAACCATACAACGTGCATATCTCTTTTGTTGTTTACTAATTTAAGTAGCTGTTGAAACGTCTTTAATCACTTTGTGTCATAGTTAAACAGGGCTGACAATTTCTTGTAAAAGATCTTGTTCTCTTCCTCTTAACAAATAAGTGTTGCCTACGACAGACAGACTAAATATAGCGCAAGCAGCCGCTTTAGTGTTGGTAAATCGAACTACGTTGACAACTTTTCTTGTTAGACAACACTGTTGTTTGCCAAAACAGCAAAACCACTAGCCCGACAACTAAACTAACTAAAATTGAATATATATAAAAAAAAAAAAAGAAATTTACAAAAAGCGGAAAACCATAACAACAACTGCACCTAAAAATGTAACTAAAAACTTATTTATTTAGAAAAAGCAGTTACCGCTATTTCTATAGCCAGAAGCTGCTGTTGTCGCTGCAGCTGCGTCGCTAATGAAAACAACATGGCGCACAGGGCTTTCCAAAGAGCGTAAACTAAACGTAAGCCAAACTTGATTGGCGCCATACACTCACACACACACACACACACACACAGACACAGGGAGACGCACACACAGACGCGCACGCACAACGACAGTGAGGACAATAAGCAAACGTCTGGCACAGCCACGCCTCGTTACGTAACATCACGTTACGTTACATCAATTTTTGTGTTTCCGCCGGAAATGCAACTGCTACATTCACAATTTCTCCCTACCGCACCGCACCGCCTGTTCGCCTAGGCATTACCCCGTAATCCGTTAGCCATAACCCGTTACTTCTTAGCCCAATACCGCAGCCACCTCCTGTTCTCCCCTTGCCATGCCCTTTTACAATCCCATTCCCATTGCCATTCCCATTCTGTTGTCATTTCAATATTGGCGCTGGCGTATTTTTACTTGCTGCAGCAGCTGTGACCGTAACAACAACAACAACTAAGTACAACAACAATGATAACAGAAAAAGCGCCAAAAAAAAGGGAAAAGGAAAAAGCAAAGTGCGCCCCAACGAAGCGTTCTAACTGAGTTTCATTTCTGGCCTGGGTTTTATTTAGCCAAGCGCGCCCCTCGCCTTTATCCAGCCAGCAACTACGACAACGCTCGTTTTATAATCCAGCGAGCACTTTGTGTTTTCATAACCTGCGTTCTAGTTAGTTCTATTTCTGTCGTGTAGTTTCTTATATACATATAGCTAACACGACATACATTATATACCCTAGTTTAATTTTGGGCTTGGGTTTTATTACAACAGCATTAGCTAGTCGTATACTGTTTGATTCGTGCCTTTTCAGTTCTGTTTGAGATCCATTTATAGCATTTGTTCATGTTTTTTTTATATACTCTATATATAACACTTAGAACTCAGTCTTTGATTACTTTCATATACTTTTATATATCTTAGGTATTTTATTAATATGCCCTAACTCTTAACTAGTTGCATTGTATCTTCTCTGGTCCATATTTAATTTAAAAATTCTGCTTGATCTTTTGCCACTTACAGTTGATCTAACCAATGGGCAGCTGACCCCCAACAACAATACACCGCTCCTAACACAGGCACTGTCAGGTAAGTTACAGCTTGAGATATATTTCAAATATGAAATCAAACAAATTAATCGAATGAAACGAGCTGCTAGTAGATCTCAAATATTTTGATTGCTAGAGCCATTAAATCACGTGGAAAGCTCCTTTTTACTGTCGAGCATATGCAGACAATAAAATATGTCAAGTGTTCTTAATATTATTTTCTGTGAACTTCCAACTTGCTTGGGATAGGAGGAATCAAGAAGATATTGTTTCCCAAGCTCAGATCAGAGCTTCTTCAGAAAGTGCACTGTTCTCAGGATGATCGTGGAAATAATATCGCCAATCGATAGTATTAATCCTAACGAGTCAAAAATGGTATATCGTTCCAAAATCGGACATTATTTAGCCGAGATATTCAATAAAACATCCAAAAGAGGTTGACTTTACAATCGAATTGATTTTTGGTCAACATATTTTTTTAAGCCATCGATTTTTGATTTGTTTGAATGCAAATTGAAAGTAGGAATCCGTACGAATTGAAAAAGATATAAGATTATAAAATCAGACGATTTTTACCCGAGATATTCCAAAAAAAGTATCAAAAAAGTTTTGATTTTCGAACCGACCCCGATTTTGACAAAAAACGTTGCTTTTTTGGTCGATTTTGGTCAAAATTTAGATTTTTAATTTTTGAATGCCAATCGATAGTATTGATCCTTACGAGTCAAAAATGGTATATCATTCCAAAATCGGTCATTATTTGGCCGAGATATTCAATAAAACATCCTAAAGACGTTGACTTTACAAACGAAACGATTTTTGGTCACCAACTTTTTTTTAGCTATCGATTTTTGATTTGTTTGAATGCAAATTGAAAGTAGGGATCCGTACGAATTGAAAAAGATATAAGATTCTAAAATCAGACGATTTTTACCCGAGATATTCAAAAAGACGATCCAAAAAGTTTTGATTTTTGAACCGACCCCGATTTTGACAAAAAACGTGATGTAACCCCTTGCTTTTTTGGTCGATTTTGGTAAAATTTAGATTTTCAATTTTTGAATGCCAATCGATAGTATTGATCCTTACGAGTCAAAAATGGTATATCATTCCAAAATCGGTCATTATTTGGCCGAGATATTCAATAAAACATCCAAAAGACGTTGACATTACAAACGAATCGATTTTTGGTCACCAACTTTTTTTTAGCCATCGATTTTTGATTTGTTTGAATGCGAATTGAAAGTAGGGATCCGTACGAATTGAAAAAGATATAAGATTCTAAAATCAGACAAAATTTGTCTGAGATATTCCAAAAAAGAGTATCAAAAAAATTTTGATTTTCGAACCGACCCTGATTTTGACAAAAAACGTGATGTAACCCCTTGCTTTTTTGGTCGATTTTGGTAAAATTTAGATTTTCAATTTTTGAATGCCAATCGATAGTATTGATCCTTACGAGTCAAAAATGGTATATCATTCCAAAATCGGTCATTATTTGGCCGAGATATTCAATAAAACATCCAAAAGACGTTGACATTACAAACGAATCGATTTTTGGTCACCAACTTTTTTTTAGCCATCGATTTTTGATTTGTTTGAATGCGAATTGAAAGTAGGGATC